TCTTGCCTATTTATAGGCTGGCTTCTATTGAAACCGAGCCTGTTTAGCCTCTTTGGGTTCTTAGGGACCTGTTTGTATAAAGCAACTTACCTGCCTATCTTCTTTTTTTTTTAATTTTATTTTTTTCCTATTGTGTGTATTTTTTGTATGTTCTGTTGGAAGGTGAAGCCTCTGTAGAAGAGGATACAAAAACTGATTTTTAAATGGTAATAAACCGAAAGAGAATTAAACTCTGCAGGCTGCATGCCTTCATTTCCTGGAGACAGAGTTTGGAGACGGTAAGTGCACAGAGACACAGCCTTGTATTTCTCATATTCCCAAGTATTCCTCTTCAGAACAGTCCCTGCCTTTGCCCATCTCCACAGCACTATGTGCAGATCTGTGGTGTCATGGGCAGGTTGTAACATCATGTGCCAAAATGGTCTTATTTTGACTAGGAAATCCTTTCTCTGAGGCTGTGTGCTGAGATTTTTAGCATAAGTGGATGAAGTAACAAATATCTTTGTGGAATTCGGTGTTGTCTCTGTTTAATACCTGGAAGGAAGTGGAAATAAAAATGAAATTGGCTACATAAACATGTTTTGCAATGTTCCTGGCCTGCCTTCCTCAGGAGCTAGGTCACTAGCCAAATGCACAGTACTGCAAGCAGAACTACATTATAAAGAAGTAAGTGTGAGGTGAAACTTCCCTACATTCTCAACCCCTTGCTCCTTTCTTGTCTTTTTGCCTCCTTGAGACTTCACCATTTTGAACCCTAACTCTGTAACTTGGCACCGCAGTGACAAGAAATGTTTGTTCTGAAGCTACGTTCAAGGAACAACTCGTTTTTGTAATAGACCCAGGCCCACGTGTGAATCCAGCTGTGGGGTTGTGGAAGGAGCTCTCACTGCCTGTCTATGGCATGTGGGCAACTTGCAGAGAAAATGAAGTTTCTGCAAGCGAAAGAAAAGGCAGCTTCCCGGAATAAACAACCCCTCCCTCAGCCTTCAGGCAAACACCTGGCGAGAGAGAGGTCTTTTACAGTACCCTTTGTGCCAATGTTATTATCTACTTGCAGGACAGATAAGGAAGTTAAATCCAGAGAGCACTCTGTGTTGTAAATGGGTTGTCTGTGAATCCCACACTTCCCAGGGTAAAGACCAGTAGTTCTGCTGACCAGTTTGGTCTGTGCTTGTATGTTGGATTAAAAAAAAATACCACACATCCCACTCCCCAAAAGCCTAAGCAGGTTAACAAGATGTAGCCGGTCTGAATAAGGATCGGCTCCTGCGTTACAGCCTTTTTTTTCCCTGTGGATACATGCTTATATTCCCCTTGCCTTCTGTTCGCATCGGGTGCTTGGGTATATTCAGGGGTTGTGGTTTTTAGAGGCATTTATTTTCCGCAGCATCTGGAAGCCTTGCGTGTGTAACTGCAGCTCTGTAACCTCATTCTTTCCACACTGGAAGCTAACTCTGACTCTGATAATATTCCATGATTATTGACATTTAGACGTCAGAGTTTTAGGCCTCCGGTTCTGCTTGACTGTGAAATCAGCTACCAGGATGAGTTAAGTATTAGTAGAAGGACATTTGAATAATCCTGTCTGATTTGCCAGAAGTTCATTTGTCTCTTACTAGAATAGAAATCTTCATTCCCTTGGACTAAAATCTCCTGGCATAGATTTTCCTGCTGCCTTTATCACATTTCTCATCTGCAGTTAAACCATTATTTTTAGATGAACATTTACCAAATGGTAGGGACACTGGCCTAGCCGACTGCTTCGCTTTGCCAGTCACTACTGTGAACAACAATAAATTAAGAAACCAGGAGCTACAAAGCTACTTTTATACATTACAAAACACCACATTCTCATGTTTTTCTTCCTGCATTAATGTTTAGCTTGCTCTTTATCTGAGCCAGCATTACACATGCACGACTTGGAACATCTCAGCCATTCCATGCATATCCCCTTTCATGATTCCTTCTCCTTGGGTGCTATTTCATAATGTAAATATCACATATCAGAGGCTTTCAAAGCACTGAGGCAGATATTTCTTTGTCTTCTCTGGCATAGGTAGAATTAACCTGGGAAACTAAGGCAGAAACTTGCCTAAGATCAGGCAACAAATCAGTAAACAAATTTAGATTAAGGCTGCTAATTCTTGACTCAGACCCATGTGTTCTCTGATTAGATCACAGTATCTTTCCAAATAACTTCCCTTCCTCCACCCTTAAATACATGCTCTGTTTTTTGTCAATAGCAGCGTGGTGTGTAGAAAGCAGCAGTGCGAGTGGAGGCTGGAAGCTGAGACGGGATCTCTCTCCCTCTTCACACAGCTGTGCCTTGTTCCTAAGAGCATCACCACAGCTTTACACCTTGCTAGGAGAGGCATGCATTGGAAAGCAGGTAAAGGCAGCGTTCTGTGATGCACATGAGGATTTTGACATGCTGAAGTGGGCTGAGGACAGAGATGCAGAGCGGGCCCCTGCCAGCAGCTGCCCCAGATGTGCAGGAGTGCAGGTGTCTGCGGCGCGTGGCACCGTGCAGCCACTCGCAGCAAGGACAAGGAGGTGGTGCTGCTAGAGGGGTCTCCAGGTGCCACGTGTCCCTGGGCTCTCAGGGAGCGCCCAGTGCCCCCAGCACCTGCCAGGGACACAGTGGGACCCCCAGCGCCATCCCCAGGCCCTCGCAGCAGGAGCCAGTGCGGGCAGGCACTAGGAGCAAGTACAGCAAAGTCTGAGCCAGTCTGAACCAGTTCAAATATCACATATGGTTGTTTTGCTTCTGCAGACTTCCTTGTTAGTCCTTGGAGGCTGGGGCTGGCATTTACTTAGCAATAGCTCATGCTGTCAGATGGAAGGGGGAGGGGAAGCCTCTCCTTGAACATGTCAGCGGGGGGATGCAACAATGCAGCAGAGATGGCTCTGCCGCTCCACACTGGCTCCTTTGTAGCCCATCCTTAGGCTCCCAATTTCATAAACAACACATCTGAGTGCTTTGTTCCCACCTTTTGATTTGTCTTTTTTATTTTTTTTCTTCCTCTAATCACATTGTTTCTAGGTTAGGAATGAAACATATTAGTTTCTGACCCTTACATCATTGCTTGCAGAAGCCTGTTTATAGGTGAGACCCACAGCTATTTTTATGATCCAGATAGAGGCAACAAAGGAGTAGGAAAAAAAAAAGGGCTCCTCTGGAGTAGTAATTACTTAATAGCATTTAGTAGCATTTGATGCTTGCAATCTTCTAAGCTTTAAACAAATTTGCTCTATTGTTTAGCTCTTGGATGAGGCCTCAGCACTATCTTCAGTTTCAGGCCTCACAATTTACCAAGGATGCTGGAAAATTGGAGAAAGGGTGAACCGGAATGAAGAGAGGTTTAGAAAGCTCGTCTAGAGGGTGGGGAGGAAAGTGTATTTTTGTTTCGCCTAGGAAGGATAAAGGGAAAAGCGGTGGGAATGTGACATATGACCTGTCACAATGAGGGCAATGTTCAGCTTTCTCCATTTTAAGCAATCCACGTTAATTTACGTAGGAAAGAATGCTTAGATTAGAAAATTGCTTTTGCTTCCTCCTGCCAGTATCTCATTAGTACAATTAAGTAATGAAGCATATTAGTTCATTTGCTAGGAGCTTGGACAAACTTTTCCCAGGGCAGATCTGAGTGTCCTTGGCTGCGGCCAGCGGAGGGGGTGGGTTGGGTGGCTTCTTGCGGAGCCCCTTGCAGGCCTATGGGTGCCTCTCCTGTGCTGCCTCTCAGCTTCCACCTATTTTTCTTCTTTAAGAAAACTTCCTATATGCTTTTTTTTTCTTTTTTTTTTCCCTCCACAGGTGACAAATTAGAACAAAATAAAGCACAGCAGACAGTCAGGACAGAGAAACAGACCTTGTTTCATTCTGAAACCTGTGCAAGGTAAATGGCAGAAAGGTACCAGGATAGTTAGACTGGTTCACACTCAGTTGAGGGATGTTTGTTAATCCCCCTCATTCCTAAAACAGCGTATTAACTCTCCTGGGAAGTGTCTGTGGATGGTAGAATGTGTATGCTTTGTGATGTGTGTATGTATAGGTACATACATACTTCTATATGTAAAATATGTGAGGTAGATGCAGAGCTAATTGCTTGGTCATGGTTCAGGTAGTTCCTTTAAAATCAAGGCTTAAGATATAACGTCAGGTTTTGTCTCAAAAAGTGCAGCAAAAAGAGCAAACCCATTTCCCAAAAGCAAAGAGAGCAATCACATCTGACAGCTGCCACTGGCATCCTATTAAACTTAACTCTGTGAAACTGCCAGGCATAAATCTTCCCTCCTCCTGGAGAAAGCTAGAGATGAAAGGCAAAATTATTCTCAGAAGTCAGTCGTGGAAAAAACTTTGATCTCTGCCGTTAATAGGAAGGCTTTTGAATTTCTCCCAGATTCCCCGTTGTCCTTCCGTGGACTAGAAACTCCAATTGTTTGCTGGAACTTGGCTGGGGGAAATGCAAAGCGCAAATTTATCTTGTTACATAACAGCAGAGCTGGGAAAGTCTGGGATTTGTTTCCACCGAGATCACTGCCCAGCCTGCAGTTCTGGGATCAGTATGTACAGGAGGAGGTGCTTTCTGTGCAAGATGGTCTGGGCATTTAGTTAGACTCAGGAAGGGACCTATGAGGAATTAATTGAATTATTAGAATGATGATAAATAACCCAGCTGGCAGCCCCCTGCAAATGGTTTTGGACAGACTCTGCCTTGAGATGCATGTGTGGTGCTGCAATTGCCAACTGAATGGAGTTTGGCTCTTAAAATCTTGGGTAGTCCATAGGGATTCTGCTGGCTGCAGCTCCACCTCGGAGCTGGGAGCAGGAGCCCATGCGCACGAGGAACAACCGGGCCCGGAGCAGGCATTTCATCCAGTGCTGCTGGCCAGGATTGACACGCGGGCGCTCCTCCCAATTTAGCAAGTCTGGCTGCAGTATTTTTAATCTGACATTCCTAAACTAAATTTATGGTGGTGTTAAATCGTATTGTCAAAACATGAATTGCACAAAAGTGGTAAGGCTGCCAGCTGTGCGTCCAGCCGCGGTGCTGCCTAACTGACCCCCCGTCACCCTTCTGTCCCGCTTTTTGTGGGCTGCTTTGTGGGACAGATCCAGCAGGTGACTGAGCAGGGCTAAGGTGTGGGTGGGTGGTCAGGAAAGGGCGCTAGCTGCGCTCAATGAGCCCACTCATCACAAGGGTTCCTGTGCCAGCGCCAGGCTGGAAGCGCCCGGGAGTGGAAGGGAAGGATTCCTGTTGCAGCCAGAGGAGTGATTCATCGCGCACTGAGCACAACAAGCAGCTTCCTGGCATGGAAGCACGTTTGGTGTTCAGCTTTCCATGTGATTGCAAGGCGCTTTAGCAGAAGGGAACCTCCCTGTCCTGTTCCTCGGAGGCAGCTTGGATTATCCCTTGTTTAATTGATAGAGGGTGGCCAAGCAAGGAAGGGCAGGGCAGGAGCAGCCCCTGGAACCACAGGCTGGGCCATGGCAGCTCCTATGGGAGTGTGTCCAGGCAGGACAGGGTCTTGGTCGCTCATTTATCCTGTGTCAGCCAAGCACTGCTGGCACCCCTGGGTGTTGTGGAGCCAGCGCAGGGGTCCCCATGCCTTTGCCCGTTCAGAAACAGGAGTGCATCCTGTATGATGGAAAAGCTTGGAAAGCTCTGCTAAAGGGTTCCAGTGCTGCCTCTGTTATCATTACTGAGAGGCTTTTTGGACGCTTTTCACTTGTTTTGTTCCCTGAGCAGGCCCAGGTCTCAGTCCCTGCAGAGGCAAATCCCAGCGATGGATGGAGAGGGGCCAGAAGGCAGCAAACGTTAATGGGGCTGAGCCCGGGGGCAGCGGCCCCGGGAGGGATATAAGGGGAGCAGGATGTAGCCCTGGGGCGCCGCGTGCCCCCCCATCCCGGGGACCGCGGGGGGCGGGAACGGGCGC